GGACAGGTAGGGATCCGCGACAGGCAGTCATAGGAAGTCTGTTGAATTTGGGAACCAGACGGTCCAAACATGTCTGTATGACTCAGCCTCCCGGTGACGTCAGAAAAGTCACCTGTACATTTTGAACCTTGAACCCCCACTCTTTGTGATGCCAGTAGTCTTACTCTTCACTACATCCATGACGTTGTTACAATCCTGGTCCTGGAAGGAGTCAGTCCAAACAAGAAGTCTTGATTTTCCCCTACTCAACTTGTCTGCCCTGTCCATTTCTCTTCTTACAAGGAGAGGGTGGGGCTCCATGATGGACCCATCATGTGTAAGGTCCTGAGTTTAATCCATAATACACAAAAAGGTCAATAAAAAGAGAACAAATAAGTTGAAGGCCCTGGTCTGCCAGGAGCTGTAAGAATTCTATCACCTTGTATGGTGATATTTTATTTGTGCTGAAATGTGATTTTATTTGCATATTAATAAAGTTGCCTGGGGATCAGAGCTAATAGCAAGCCATTAAGCAGAAGTCTGGTAGTGGTATCACACACCCTTAATCCGATCACACGGCAGGCAGAATCTCTGTGTGTTCAAGGACACAGCCAGCATGGTGACACATGCCTTTAATCTCAGTCCAACCATAGAGAACTGGAGGTCTGTATAGATAGGCAGTGACGAGGAAGTCATGTGGTTGGGTTTACAGCCAATGAGAAGGCAGAACAGAAGGGCAATAAAAAAGACAGGACACAGGAAGAAGGTCTCTCTCTCTCTCAGGGGAAGCGACAGCAGCGAGTGGTAAGATAAGGGGGTCTTAGCTCTTGGCTACTGCCCAATCTCTGGGCTTTTAACTTTTAATTTGGCTCTGTGTTTCTTATTTAATAAGACCGTTTAGAATTACATCTACAACCTTGTCTACCCTCTCTGGCGTGACCCTTTACCCTAGGACTGTTCTCTTCCTGTCCTTCCAAATGCCCTGCTAGGCCCCATACCTCTGCTCTGCTTAGTTCTCTGCCTGTCCTTTCTTTCTCCAGACCCTATCATCCAGCAAGACCCAAGCCTGTGTGTGCATTCAGTTCAACTGACAACTTGTATTTTTACTATGTGCCAGGCATCGGTGGCACACACCTCTAATCCCAGAACTCAGGAGGCAGAGGCAAGTGGATCTCTGGGCTCAAAGCCAGCTAGCCTGATCTACAGATTGAGTTCCAGGACAGCTAGGGTGACACAAAGAAACCCTGTCTTGGGAAAAAAGAAAAAAGAAAAGAAAGGAATAAATGAATGAATGAATTATGATCCCTAACCCTGAAGACCCAGAGAAGAGGGGATGTCTTGTCTCTGAACTCTATGAGGCTTGCTATCTTTCCTAATTTCAAAGAAACTGTGATCAAAGTTCTTTGTTTTTGTTTTTTTGAGACAGGGTTTCTCTGTGTTACAGCTGTCCTGGAACTCACTCTGTAGACCAGGCTGGCCTTGAACTCACAGAGATCCACCTACCTCTGCCTCCCAAGTGCTGGGATTAAAAGCATGCACCACCATCACCCAGCTTCTGATCAAAGTTTTGAAAATAAACAGATCTAAGTTCAAGTCCCATTGAATCCCAATGCCATTAGACAAGCCAGCTTCGTTTCCCAACCTCAGTGCCCAGCAATACAAAAGAGGGTCATAATATCTTTGTCACCATCCTGCAAAATGACAAAGCCAAGTTGCATCAATGAGAAAAATACACCTTTTGGAAGGAATCTTGTTTTTGGTATTACACACACACACACACACACACACACACACACACACACACACACACACACACGCATGCAGGATAATCATAGGGAAAATTCAGAACCTCTTTTGACTTCCTTCCTCTTATTCTGTGTTTAGTTTTGGTTTTACTTTTAATTATATGAAAGGAAGGAGGTTTCCTGGAATCCTCTCACCCTTAGAAGTTAAGGAAAACTCAAAACTGTCTTGATTTGGAAATTTTCAAACCTAAAAAAAAGTTTCAAGATAATATATATGTATATATATACATATATCCTAGACTCCTTGTTAACTTTCTGATACATGATTTTTTTTTTCTCCATTGAAAATCTGAATCGGGGCTAGAGGGATGGCTCAGGAGTTAAGAGCACCAACTACTTTTCTAGAGGCTCTGGGTTCAATTCCCAGAGCCCACATGGCAGCTCAGAACCATCTGGCTCCAATTCCAAGTGATCTGAAACCCTCACACAGACATACATGGAGGTAAATCACCAATGCAATGAAGTAGAATTGAAAAGACCAAGCAGATGCTATAACAGGCTATCAGTCTTCTCTCAGACATCAGGCCTCAATTTCAGTTTTCTGAGACTTGAGCAAGCAGTTTCTGGGAGGGCCATGAACAAAAAACATAGTCCTTGCAGTAGATCCCTTTCTGCACGTGCTCTGACCGCTCAAGGTTCAGCCAGCTGTTTACTGTCTGGGACCCTTCACCAACTTAGAGCTACGTACATGGGTCAATGTGAACGTGCGAGCCAGCTAGCCAGCCTCCATGGCAGCTCAAAGACAAAGCCTGGGACTTGTCCAGGCCTGCCCCAAAATGATAACTGTAACCCCCCCAACCAGTAAATTCAAAGGTTACACGCCCTCACCCAATCATATGATGCCAAGTCTTGTACCATCCTGCTTGTGGTTTTTTCCTTTAAAAACCCCTCACTCTGAGAGCTCAGGGCCATCCTCCACCACCTGCTTAGTCAGAGTGTTGGACACAGACCAAGCTTGGGTTTGCTTGTTATCAATAAACCTCTGTGTGTTTTGCATTGGGTATCGGCTCTGCAGTGGTCTTTCTTTGGGGTCTCATGACACGGGCACCACAAAAATAAATTGTAAAATAGAAACGCCCTCTTCATAAAATGCTATGATTTACATGAAGGAGGATGGTGTCACATAGTGGATGTAGAATCTCTGAAAATATTTCATGCAGATGTCAAAGAAAACAATAGACAATTTTAAGGGATAAAAATAACAGAGAGAGAGAGAGAGAGAGAGAGAGAGAGAGAGAGAGAGAGAGAGAGAGAGGAGAGAAAGCTTGAATTGGCTGGGTGGCGGGGGGGGTGGTGGTGGCATGACTTTAATCCCGGCACTTGGGAGGCAGAGGCAGGCAGATCTCTGAGTTCGAGGCCAGCCTGGTCTACAGAGCAAGTTCCAGGACAGCCAGGGATACACACGGAAACCTGGTCTTAAACAAAACCCAAATGAAAAAGCAAAAAGAACGTCTGAATTGTATTTTAATTATTTTTATAAGATCTTCCTATGTTGCCCACACTAACCCCAGTCTTTCCAATGGTTTTTAAAATAATTGCTACTTATTTTTGTTTCGTTTGCATTGGTGTCGCGCCTGTATGCACGTCTGTGTGAGGGTGTTGGGTCCTGGAGTTACATTACAGACCGTTGTCAACTGCCATATGGGTGCTGGAGCAGTCAGTGCTCTTAACTGCTGAGCACTCTCTCCAGCCCACTCCAGCATCTCTCTGTTAAATGTAGCTTTCACATTATCCCTATTTCCTTCATTAAGTGGACACTTCCTTCCTTTCCCACTTCTAGCATCTTTTGTAAAGCCAACTGCCATGATGTTGCTGATGTTATGCCCACGTCAGGAGACCCCAAAGAAAGGCCACCACAGCCGGGCGGTGGTGGCGCACGCCTTTAATCCCAGCACTCGGGAGGCAGAGCCAGGCGGATCTCTGTGAGTTCGAGGCCAGCCTGGTCTCCAAAGCGAGTTCCAGGGGCGCAAAGCTACACAGAGAAACCCTGTCTCGAAAAACCAAAAAAAAAAAAAAAAGAAAGGCCACCACAGAGCTGATATCCAGTGCAAAACACACAGGGGTTTATTGATAACAAGCAAGCCCGGGTTTGGTCTGTGTCTAACACTCGACACAGTGGGTGGAGGAGGATGGCCCTGAGCTCTCAAAGTGAGAGGTTTTTAAAGGGAAAAACCACAAGCAGGATGGTACAATACTTGACATCATATGATTGGGTGAGGGCGTGTAACCTTTGAATTTACTGGTTGGGGGGATTACAGTTATCATTTTGGGGCAGGCCTGGACAAGTCCCAGGCTTTGTCTTTGAGCTACCATGGAGGCTGGCTAGCTGGCTCGCACGTTCACATTGACCCATGTACGTAGCTCTAAGTTGGTGAAGGGTCCCAGACAGTAAACAGCTGGCTGAACCTTGAGCGGTCAGAGTACGTGCAGAAAGGGATCTACTGCAAGGACTATGTCTTTTGTTCATGGCCCTCCCAGAAACTGCTTGCTCAAGTCTCAGGAAACTGAAGTTGAGGCCTGATGTCTGAGAGAAGACTGACCGCCTGTTATGGCGTCTGTGTGGTCTTTCACTGAAAAGTGAACCCTGCACCATTTTCCCCGCTTCTCTGCAGAGTGCCACCATGATGATTACTGTTAGTTTCAAGTTCCTAAAGTTGCAGCATCAAATCCCAATTCTCGCCCCTATGTATTTCAGGATATATCTCTTAAGAACAACTTTGTTGATAGAACACCGATACCAAATTTAACCTTGCTAAAATCCTATTGCCTAAAGCAACCTTTGGCAAGTCAACACCACATGCCTGCACTGTCTTAGTCTCTTAGGAGGACGGAACCTTAGCCTTTCCTCGTCTGGAATGTCAGGGTCTCAAAGCCTATTGCAGGAATTACAGCAATGAGACTGCCCTCCTAGGCGCTTAGCACAGGAGACACATGAAGCCAACTTGTTTAAGAGGGTCGATACCAGAACCCTTACAGCTAGTTTCTTTTTTTCCCACATTATCTTCTCTTCAAGGACTGAGCGTGCATCTCACGCTAGTCTCAAGCTAGTTCTTCAGAGTCTGGGTCACTGACTTCAGTAAAGACCACTGATACCGCTCTTGAGAGTTCTAGCCAGGGCTGCAAGGCTCAGAGAACCACAACTCCCAGAAGACCCTGCGCTCACCGACCTCTCTGGCCACCATAGTCGGTCACGTGGGCACCGATGGCCGATCACGTGAGTCCCGGGCGCGCGTCACGGGAACGCTGCCGGGCGGCCGGCTGTTCTAGTTGAGTTTGGTCCTCAGTGGGCCATGGCCAACGTCTCTAAGAAGGTATCTTGGTCTGGCCGAGACCGCGATGATGAGGAGGCGGCGCCGCTGCTTCGAAGGACCGGGCTGCCTGACGAGGAGACGCCGCTGCTGAACGGGGCCGGGCCGGCCGCGCGCCAGGTGAGGCCCGCGGGCCGGAGATGTGGCCGCTGGGTTCGCTGCCCCGGTCCTCAGTGCGCCGGAGGGGCCCAGGGAGGAGGCCACAGCTTTCTCCTCTGTTATTTTTTGTGAATCCCGGAAGACTTGTTTTTGACAGTTTCGCATCCATTACCCTCTTCCTTTCTTTCCCTTTGAACCCCTTCTCCCCATCCAGTCCCAGTGGGTACACCATTAGAGAAAATGATACCCTCTCCTTCAGCAATCACCAACTGTCATTAGCTCTGCAGCAAGAGACCCTAGGATTTTAACCTTTTAAATTGTTTTTGTTTTTTTAATCTTGCTCTTCGTAGTGAGGGTCGAGCCCAGGGTTTACACATAGTTGGCAAGCATACGACCTCTGATCTGCTTCCTAGCGTTTCAGGACAGGGTCTCACTGGTGTATCCCAGGCTGGCCATGAATTCATGATCCTGCTCCATTTTCTCAAGAACTTGGAAGGCGTGGACTACACGCCTCACAGTTTTCACAGTTTAAATGGCAGACTTGCGATTTCAGTGAAAGTGTCAATCTCCTTTTCACAGGAGTAATTCCAGACATTTGGGGCATAATTGCAATGACAAGTATTTCCACTCATTTTCTCTTACTACCTAATTGAATTTGAATTGGGAATGTGCAGCCAGATGTAATAAGTAACAAGTTAGAGGCCAGAGTATGCTCATCACTCAAAACACAGTTTGTGCCTTTAAATGCTTAATGTTTGAAAGGGGTTACTGTTTTGCTTATTTGCATGTCTTTGGCTCTCCTGCCTGTATGCATTGTATTAATTTTGAGTCAGGTATTTATGTGAATGTCTTGTTAGTCTGTTTTATAACCGTCCTTTACCATTTCTCCTGATTTTAGAGTTGTCTAACAAGCACTCCTGTCATTTTAAAGGCTAAGAAGAACAAGAGATCAGGCTGTTTCATCAGAATGTACATTTAGGTTTTTCTAGACCCTTAAAGGTACATCAGACAATGAACGTCAAAATCAGTTCTTCCTTTGAAGTAACGTCTGTGTACAGGTCTGGTCTGCTGCAGTAATTTGAAGTGACCTATAGTAGAACGGTAGGGCTGTGTCAAGACCGTCTTAGGGTGTTTCTGGAAAGTGTGATTTGCTATCCCTGTTGTAAAGAAAGTAACATTGGGGGCTGGAGAGATTGCTTAGTGGCTAAGAGTGCTTGCTGCTCATGCAGAAGACCCAAGTTCAGGTCCCAGCACCCAAGTCCAGTGGCTCAACCATCTGTAACCCTTTTCTTTTTAATTTTATTTATTTATTTGTTTGCTTATTGGTTTTTTTGAGACAAGGTTTCTCTGTGAAACAGTCCTGGTTGCCCTGGAACTCACTCAGTAGACCAGCAGGCCTCGAACTCACAGAAATCCACCTGCCTCTGCCTCCCCAGTGCTGGGATTAAAGGCATGTGCCACCACTGCCCGGCCCATCTGTGACTCTAGCTCCAGGGATCTGGCCACCGTCTCCTCTCCAGGCCTCCTCTACCTGTATAACACACACTCTCACTCTTTTCTCTCTCTCTCTCTCTCTCTCTCTCTCTCTCTCTCTCTCTCTCTCTCTCTCTCTCAAAACAACAACAACAAAATAACCTTAAGTTGGAAACTGGTTTTAAGAAGGGAAACTGACATAAGTTGGGTTTGGATTTCTCAGGATTGAATGGTTGTAGGTTTTATTTTTGTTTGGTTTTGCTTTTTTTTGCAATGGACCTAAGAGTTGGTTTCTTTTGAAAGAATGAGTTTATTTTTTCCCTAAATACCATTATAGCTTTTAAGGCTACAGTTAATACAATTGATTGGTTGCTGTTAAACAACTTAAAGTAATTATGTACCTGCCCCACTGTGGATTTTGAGGTCTGTGTGCAGGTCACTGAGGTGCATAAGATAGCTTCCTTCCCTCTGGAAATAGGCCCACCTCCTTGCTGGTTCTATGTGAGGAGCCCTATAGATATAGGTGCAAAGAGTATTTTTGTGCCCTATATAAGTAGTGCAAGGCCCTGAGACAAGCTCAGGACAAAGAGTATATGTTTAGAATGCTACAATAGTTTGGAATATGGTACAGGGTGTGGAAGTCCTGTCCAGGCACATGACTTGATGTTGAGTTTGGTTTAGGTCTAGGAGAGACATGTGGGAAGCCAGGGGCTCCAATGCTAAAGGATCCTTGCCCTGCTTAGGTGGGCTGAACAAACACTGCCTACAGGTTGGGAACCCTCTGCAGTGGGCACCAGACCAGCCAGAATTTCAGAAAGGATCTGAGGTCTGCTTGTGCCAGTTTTCTCTTCTGTAAAAAGTTAATGAATGTTGGAAAACATGCTCTCAGTAGATACCAGTCATTAGTGAAGCCCTGGGTTCAGTCTCTCAGCACCACATAAAACTGGGTGTGGTAGCAAATAGCTATAATTCCAGCATGCAAGTGGTGAAGGCAGGAGGATCAGAAGTTGACGGTCAGTGATTCTGAAGCATCATGAACTAGATAAGACCCTGTCTCAAAACAAAACAAGCAATTCTGTCCCGCCCCCCCCCCCCCCAACAAAAAAACCCTATCAACTAAAGCATCTTTGCACTTGACATTTGTGTATGGCCCCCTCTTGAACTGAATGACTTCTTGGTGCTGCTTTACTCAGGGAGTCTGTTCTGGATAATAGGCAGGCTCATAGTTAGGCATGGGGTGTCCTCATACTGCAGCAAGAGTCTTTGTAAGCTAGTCTGGAGTCAGGATCCTTTTGAAATAAAAAGAGGGACACAGTGGGGTGACTCTGGGACTGAACATGAGCTTCTTATCCTGACTACCTTCTGGCCCTCTGGGATTTGTTATGGCATCTCCGGGGTTGGGTGGTGGCATTGTTGCCCCCCTCAGCCAGGCAGAAGCAGGCCAAGCAATGAGGTAGTTGCTGTAGGTAGGATGGGCTGGGGCCCAGTTTTAAAGCTCAGCCCCACAGGACTACCTGGAGGCCAAGGCTTTGGGCCTTTTCTTAGGTGTGGGTGATGGTGGAATAGGGAGAGGGTGAGGTCAGCCGGGAAGTCATGGTCATGTGTGTGGGCAATGGGAAGTAGAGTATTCCGTGAGGCTGTTTGATCCCAGAGCAAATGGTGGTGTTGAGGTAGCAGTGTGTGTTTGCAGTCTGTTTAAATGCAGGGCATTTTTACAGGCCCATTTTGGGAATTGCCACCAGAGACACCCCCTCCCTCAGCAGAAGAGGGACCTCAGGTGAGTGTGGGACTGTGTTCTGCCCTGGTAACTTAGTACCACAGACCATAGCCTGAGGTGCTGTTGGGGAAGACAGGAGACCTGGGGCTGTTGGAAAGCTTCAGGGGAGGCTCCTCTGATTGTCCCCAGTGGCCCTTGGGCCCTGCTATCTTCTGGTGAGAGCTGTTCTCCTCCTCTCGCAGCTCCTAAGCAAGCCTCAGCCCAACAGGGTGTAGAGAGCTGAAGGACAGGGTCCTGGCAGCCTCCAGGCAGCCATGCAGGCCTATATCCACCCCCAAGCCTGGCCCTATGGCCCACTCCTCTCTGCTCTGGGCTGCTCTGCTTGGTGTAGACCTGCTAGCTACTGCATCTAAAGTGGGTCTCTCTTCCCCATTTCTGTCACCTTTGTCACATTTGTGCTGGCTGTATAACGTGCCTTTTTTTTCTTTTGGTCCCCCCCCCACACACACACTGCAGTAGTCTGGGCTTCTTTGGTGCTGAGCATTAGAGCCTGGCACCTGGCAGCTGCTCGTGGAGGTGGGACTGTAGAGCTGGCAGTGTGCAACAGTGAAGAGCTTAAAGAAAACAAGGTTTTAGATAATGACACACGCCTTTAATCCCAGCACTCAGGAGGCAGAGGCAGGTGGGATCTCTGAATTTGAGGCCAGCCTGGTCTATATAATGAGTTCCAGGTCAGCCAGGGCTATGTAGAGAGACCTTGTCTCAAAAAAGTGTTAGATAGCCGGGTGGCGGTGGCACATCCCTTTAATCCCAGCACTCAGGAGGCAGAGGCAGGTGGAATCCCTGAGTTCAAGGCCAGCCTGGTCTACAGAGTGAGATCCAGGACAGGACAGGCACCAAAACTACATGGAGAAACCCTGTCTCGAAAAACCAAAAAAAAGTATTAGACATATAAAAATAGGGTGTCCAAGTGCAAAATAATGTTTTCCAACTCAGGTTCCACTAGAACTGGAGGATGGCAGAGTTCCGTGGTTGTTCTCATTTTTCAAATAAAATGGCTCTCTCTGTGTGTGTATATACGTACATATATATGTGTGTGTATTTGTAGGAAGAGCACATAACATCAATGTACTATCTAGGTTCACACACTTCTCACCCATTCACCCCATAATGGAGATTGAACCCAGACTTCCTGTGTACTACACAGGTGCTCTACCCTGCCCACTTCTTTTATTTATTTATTTTAATTTCCTGAGACAAGGTTTCTCTGTGTAACAGTCCTAGCTGTCCTGGATTCCGGTTTGTAGATCAGGCTGGCCTTGAACTCAGAGATCTGACTGCCTCTGCTTTCTGAGTGCTGGGATTAAAGGCGTGTGCCACCACTGCCGGGCAATATTTTATGTGGGGTCAGAGTATTGGTATAGTGTGTAAGTGTCTAGTGTATAGTGTAGAAGTGGTTCAGGCTGGTCTTGAACTCTCTGTGTAGTTGAGGCTAACTTGAAAATTTTTTATACATTTATTTATTTTGTATGTATGTGTGTCTGCACATGTATGCCATAGTGGATGTATGGAAATTGGGATAACTTGGAGTCAGTTCTTTTCTCCACCATATGGATTCAGGGAATTGAACTCAGATCAGCAGGCTCTGGAGGAGATGCCTTTATCCACTAGCCCAGGCTTTTCATTTTTCACCCTCCTCCCTCAGCCTCTGAGTGTCTGTATTACACGTTACAGTTGGACCACTACCTGTCTGCTATATTCTTTTTCTTTTTTCCTTTTTTTTTTGGGGGGGGGTGGAGTAGGGTTTTTTGTTGTTGTTGTTGTTATTGTGTTTTGTTAGTTTTGTTTTTGTCTTTTTTGTTTTTTAAGACAGGGTTTCTCTCTGTATCCCTGGCTGTCCTGGAACTTGTTCTGTAGACCAGGCTGGCGTTGAACTCACAGGAATCTGCCTGCCTCTGCCTCCTGAGTGCTGGGATTAAAGGTGTGGGCCACTGCCACCTGGCTCTGGTCTGTTTTTTTTTGTTGTTGTTGTTGTTTTTTGTTTTTTTGTCCCCCAAGATTTATTTATTTATACAGAATTCTGCCTGCATGTATGTCTGCAGGCCAGAAGAGGGCACCAGATCTCATTACAGATGGTGTGAGCCACTCGCTGGGAATTGAACTCGGGACCTCTGGAAGAGCAGCCAGTGCTCTTAACCTCTGAGCCATCTCTCCAGCTACTAGTCTGGAATATTCTTAATGTTGGGCAACTAGTCTCTAGAACTGTTTCATCTTGTAAGACTGAAACTGTACCCAGAGTTTTCTTCCCTTCTTTCCTCTTCAACCCCGGCCACCACCTCTTCTTATTCTCTGTCTTTATGGATATAACCACATTTTGGAGGCAGGCCTCAAACAGCTTTGTAGCTGAGGATGACCTTGAACGTTTGAGGGGACGGGGAAGGAGCAGAGACAGAATATTACCACAAGGGACGCACTATGTAGACCAGGCTGGCCTGCATGCCTATCTGTGTACTGCATGCATGTATGTCTGCACTGCGTACATGTATGTCTGTGCACTGCGTGCATGTATGTCTGTGCACTGCATGCATGTCCGGTCAGCTCTGAGCTTTGTTCTTGTTACCTGTTTGGTGTGTGTGTGTGAGTGATTTGTAATTTTCCATTTTTTGCCTGTCAGCCATTCTCAAACGCTATGCTTTGCATTTATGTTCTGTTTTGTAAGTTACCTTTTCAGTCTTTTGGTGTGGGGGAATTTTTGTTTTATGTAACTTTGAAATAATTATAGATTTCCAGAAGTTGCAAAACTAGTCCTGAGCAGGCCTGTGTTCTCAACCAGTTCCTTTTAGGGTGGTATGTTGAGTAATTGTAGCTCAGTACTAGAGCACTGAGTTTGGCAGCTGTGCAGTGTGTCTAGATCCCTGGGAACGTCCATCCATCCGTCTGTCCTTCCACTTCCTTAGTCATACACAGCTCTAAGCCCTCTGCAGCTACTTCCCTGCAAGGAGGACCAGGCCCCTGTGCCCCACTGTGGTCTGTGGATTGTCCTTTGTCACTCATTGCTCTGGCGGCCTTCTCCTGATTTGGGCTTCTGCTTGCTGCTGCTCTGTCATGGATTTGGGCCACTGCTTACCAAGTCGGGAGTCGAGGTTATCATGTAAGCAAGGACTGTCATGCTTACCCATAGCCAGCACCTCTCCCCTGTCCTCTTAAACTTTCATGGTTTCATTTTCATAGCCCCATAGTCAGTGGGTCTGACTCTTGGCCCCTGTGCTATAGTGGGACAGTTGTTGATGGCCTTTGGCTTGTCTAGCTCTTCAGTGATAAGTGGAACAGACTGGCCACCTGCCCTTATCTCTGCTGTGCCCCTCAGCCCCTGCTTCACTGTCCTTGTGTTTTCTCCTGGTCACTCAGCACCTAGGGGAAGTTCCCTGAGGAAGTGAACAGGGTTCATGGTGGGTGACACTTCAAGAGCCCTGGGGGCTCAGTCAAGTTCCATGTTTATATGAAGTTCAAATGCAACCAGAGTACTGGTGCTGTCATCCTGTTCATGGTGGTCCTCAGTGTAGACTGTCCCCAATAAGGCATATAGAGGGTGTCCTGCTTATATGTAGCCTCTTGGCACAACTTGCCTGCCCCAGCATGCTTGGTATGGTGAGTCTGTCTTTCTTTTCCTTCTTTTTTTTTTTTTTTTTTTTTTTTGTGTGTGTGTGTGTGTGTTTTAAGACAGGGTTTCAATGTGTGTAGCCCTGGCTGTCCTGGAACTCGCTCTGTAGACCAGCCTAGCCTCGAACTCACAGAGATCCACCTGCCTCTGCCTCCCCAGTTCTGGGATTAAAGGTGTACGTCACTACCTCTCCATCGAGTCTGTCTTTTTTTTGTTTTGTTTTGTTTTGTTTTGTTTTGTTTTTTGTTTTTCGAGACAGGGTTTCTCTGTGTAGCTTTGTGCCGTTCCTGGATCTCACTCTGTAGACCAGGCTGGCCTCGAACTCACAAAGATCCGCCTGCCTCTGCCTCCCGAGTGCTGGGATTAAAGGCATGCACCACCACCGCCCAGCGAGTCTGTCTTTTTTTAAGTGAGATTGTGGCAGGACCGGAGGGGACTCTCTAAGTGATCCTTGCCCTGCCTATCATGTGTGGGTCATGTGAACCAGGGTGACCAAACAGAAAACAACCTAACCAAGAGCAGCCCACAGTATCCCCAGCTGGAAAGTCCAGAGTGGACATGGATTGGGGGCAGGGTGTGTCCCCTTCTAGGTTTCCTTCTCCCAGGTGAAATGGTTAGATGTTTGTCGCCTCCTCTGGTGCTCTTTCCTCCTGATACCTGTGGTACCTGACGATACTCAGGGTGGAGGTTGCCAGCCAAGCCCAAAGATGTGATTTGGTGATGCTTTCTCCATCCCGCACTTGTGAACAAGAACCTGTGCCTGTGTATGCACAGGAATGAGTGGGGGCCAGGGGCAGCCAGCCGGATACCTGACTTCCTGCACTCTGTCCCACAGGATGCCTTCCTCATTTCTGTCACCCTATGTTGTAGCTGGTCGGTAGATTAGGAGTTAATCTATGATAAGGCACCAGAGGGAACCCCTGGCTGTGGTGAGCATACATACAGCTGTGGGATGTCTATGAGTCTCAGTCTGCTGCACCCCTAGAAAGGCTCCAGAGGAGGAGGAGCTCTTTCCTGTATATTTGGGGGAAATGTGGAAGCACTTCACCTATCTGCAGCTCCAGGTCACAGTGCCTGTAAGAACAGGAGTCTGGGGTCCTGGGTGTCAGGAGCTCTGCAAGGGGTTCTGGTGTTTCTGGGATGGAAGGATACAGGTAAAGGGAGCTTTGGGTGGCTGGGGGCTGGGAAGGGCAAGTTCCCAAAGCTTGTTGGGATACCATATAGGGATGAACCATTCAAGGAGACAGGCGCCTCCTGGATTTCAGGGCGCCTGAAAAAGAAATGCTTGGGAGCTGGAGAGTTGGCTCAGCAGCTAAGAGCACATACTGCTCTAGCAGAGGACCCAAGTTCAGCTCCCACGTCAGGCTGCTCCCAACTCCAGCTGAAGGGATCTAACATTTGTGGCCTCTACGGGCACCTCCATGCACATGCACATATTGACACACAGAATTTTAAAACAAATATTAAAAAATAAGTGTAGCTCCAGTGTGGCGGCGCACACCTTTAATCCCAGTACTCGGGAGATAGAGGCAGGCAGAGTTTGAGGCCAGCCTGGTCTACAGGATGAGTTCCAGGACAGCCAGGACTACACAGAGAAACCCTATCTCAAAAAAGCAATAATGATAATAGTAACAATAATAATAAAATGTAAATGCTTGGGACCCCCAGTGAACCTTGATAAGGGTCTTTGGAACAGGAAGGATAAAGGAAACAGTGAGGCTGGGCCTGCAGCTGCCTCAGGTCTGGAAAATAGCTCCAGGGATAATTCCAGTCCACGAGCTGCTGGGCTGGCCTTGCAGCTCTCTCTCTCTTCCACACTTGGTCTCCATCACAGCTACTTTGCTTTCTAACACAGTGAATGGGGGGCCACATGGCTCTTGCCCAGCAGCTCAGAAGTTGGCCTTTCCTGTAGCCCCTACAAGCAATTTTGTAAATACCCAGGAAATAGTTGAAAATGGGCATAAGTGCCACCCTCCCCCCAACTTTTCCACCTACCACTTACTGGGCAGGTGTGAATTTAGCCAGGTTGGGAGGTTAACAATCTGGAAAGTGTCCTAAGAAAGGGCACTGGCTGCCCCACACCTACATCAAGCTGTACCACTACAAGAATTTCCGCCCTTAGACCCACTCAACTGGTACAGCTTCTGCTTGGGAGGGCTGCATTAGCATGCTTGAAGCAGATAGAGGCCTAGAGAAACTGGACTAGACATGACTTTGTAGAGGTGGTAGGCAGGGGAGGAACCATAGCTTCATGGCAGTGGACACTAACTTGCTTGGATACATCCTGCAGCCCTTGGCCCTGGTGCATGGTCAGTTTCCTCTCATATGGAGCAGACAGGGTAGTATACTAAGGTGAGAAAAACTGGGCTTTCTGTCCCATGCTAGCCTTCTCAGGAACAGGCTGTGCATGTCAGGAGCAGACCTGGGTTCCAATACCCAAGGAGGGCAGGATGTGAGGGTGGGAATGAGAATGAGTTGTATTCTCCCTCCCTCATCTGGTATCCTCATGACCTCTCTTCTGTTTGTAGTCTCATTCTGCATTTTTCCGAATTGGACAGATGAACAACGTGGAGCTGGACGATGAGCTTTTAGACCCGGTAAGTGGTGTTATGTCCCCTGCTCCGACTGAGCTGACCTTAGTGAAGGGAAGTAGAAGGGTAGCATGGTCAGCAGAGATGGCATGCAGAATATGGATGTGGTCTCTGAGGCCAAGTCACCAGCAGCAGCTTCAGATGTGAAGGGGTGGGCAGAAGCACTGTGTGGAGGAGGCCATGGAGCACAGAGGCCTTTGGCAGGAGTGAACTTAGTGTGAAGATATCTTACAGAGTACCAGAGTTCAGATCCTAACATCCATGTAAGATGGCTGTACTTCCAGTTCCTGGGGATCCAGCACCCTCTTTTGGCCTCCATAAATGCCTGTACTCACATGCACATGGTTGTACACAGGCACACACATGCATACAGATAATAAAAAATAAATCTTGAAAAAACAAACACGAAATGTTTCATGAGCCACTCCTCTCTCTCCCCTGGAGTTTGCTTGTTTTTGGTGCTGTCTGCTGCGGTTTTACTTGTCCAGAGGGCAGTGATGCAGAGTGTTCTCACATGCCTGTGGGTGTAGGTGTCCTCAGAGGCCAGGGGCATTGGATCCCCTGGAGCAGAGTTACAGGCTGTTCTAAGCCGTGTGGTGTGCATACCCAGAAACCAAACTTGGGTTTTCTGCTAGAGCAGACACTCAGCCTCGGATCATCTCTCCAGACTCCTGTTTTAGCTTCTTTAGTGCTTTTGTTGTTAATTTAGACTCAGGGATGGAACAGAGAGCCTTGGGCCTGCTAGGCAAGCATGCTGTCACTTAGCTGCCTCCTTTCTTGTTAGTTAGGTGCTTTGCTACGTAACCCAAGTTGACCTTGAATTTCCAATCCTCTTGATTCTGCCTCCGGGGTGCCAGGATTGTAGGTGTGCTCCACCACACCTAGCTTCGTTGAGTGTTTCTAATGCTTTTTCTGTGTTTATAAGATGGTCTGTGGCCTGGCAGTGGTGGCACATGCCTTCAATTCCAGCACTTGGGAGGCAGAAGCAGGTGGATCTCTGAGTTCCAGGACAACCTGGTCTACAGAGTGAGTTCCAGGACAGCCAGGACTACACAGAGAAACCCTGACTCAAAAAAACAAAAACAAAAAACCAAAAAAATTTAGGATGGTTTGTGGACCTTTGTCCTGACATAGCACATCTGTTGATTTTTTAGGATGTTAAACTAACCTTATACTCCTGAAACAAACCTATGGTGTTTGCAGGGTCCCATTGGAGGGTGTTTGTGTCCATATCCCAAGGGGTGGTGGTTTGTAGGTTTCTTGTGACTTCCCAGCCTTGAGTGTCAGATAATGCTGAACTATGAGATTTGAGACTAGCCCCTTTTCTTCACCTTGTTCCTATTCTTAAAGAGCATGGGACTGCTTTTTTCTTCCACAGGAAGTGGACCCTCCTCACACCTTCCCCAGGGAGATTCCGCACAATGAGAAGCTCCTCTCCCTCAAGTATGAGGTGGGCTCCCCATCCTCCCTCCTGAGCTCAAGCCCTACCTTTCCAGCCCTCTTCCCTGTCATCTGGCTATACTTGCACTCTGGTCCCTGGTTCAGTAATCAAGTACCTTGTGTCCTGGTCTGTGTAGAGCCTGGACTATGACAATAGCGAGAACCAGCTCTTCCTGGAAGAGGAGAGACGAATCAACCATACGGTGAGCAGGGTGGGCTTGTGGTTTGTTGGCCTGGGTGCTGGCATGTTGGGCCAGGCAGTGTCCCTGTTCCATCCCTCTCCCTTTTCTCCTCCGAGCCTCTGGGTTCCAATGCCATGCTTTAATGATTTGTGTATGGAGGATGGGGCTCTGAACATGTGACACCAGACGCTGGAAACTTGGAGGAGTGCTATAATCATCATGGCCAATAAAGCTTCTGCAGATGGCAGACAGTGCCTCGAATGCTAGTAGCTAGTTGTGAATTTGTAGGGAATGTTACTTACCTCCTTGTGACTTCCTGTGGCCCTCAGTGGTCATTGAAACATTGGCTGGAGGCTGTTGTTAGCAGATTTGGGCTGAGAGCTGAACTTTGTACTGTGTGTGGTACCGCCCTTGAATCTGCCAGCGCCAGACCAGAGCAGTGCCCAACAGGTGCCTAGCTGCAGTGCCCACCATGACTGCACCATGTTTCCCATCCCTGTCTAGGCTTTCCGGACGGTGGAGATCAAGCGCTGGGTTATCTGTGCCCTCATTGGAATCCTCACAGGCCTGGTAGCCTGCTTCATTGACATTGTAGTGGAGAACCTGGCAGGCCTCAAGTACAGAGTCATCAAGGACAGTATCCTCCAGAGACACTCAGCCTGGGGCACATGGGGTGAGGGTTCATTAACAGAACCCAAGCATGTGCCTTCACAGGCAGGCAGTAAAGAAGAGCAGGCCCAACTCCGTAGAAACTGCCCCTAGCGTGCACACACACAGCTCAGCATATGGGTGCTGTGTTCATAGTCAGGCTGTGAGATGTCTCTAAGTTGTCCCTTAGCACCATGGCCCGCTAGCTAGTCAGTAGTTGTGCTGGTCCAGGTCATGAGATGATCTGGGCCAGAGAGACCGGCCGGAACAGTGAGACAGGCAGGGCAGTTATGTGCTCCAGACGTGCAGCAGTACCTGTCCTTGACGATCCCTGAGACATCGACAAGTTCACAGAGAAAGGTGGCCTGTCCTTCTCCCTCCTGCTGTGGGCCACGCTCAACTCCGCCTTCGTGCTCGTCGGGTCCGTGATTGTGGCCTTCATAGAGGTAAAGCCACTGTGTGTAGGAGAACGGTTACCCTAGATCCAGAGTGGGCACGGGTCTCGGTGAATAGATGGGTCCCTCTGTCTTACCCACCATGGACCTTGTTAGCTTATGAGGATGGAGGCTTTCCAGAGAGCACCACAGTGTGTACAGATGAGAAATATTCAGTCAGAACAGAAAGAACACCGGGGCTTCCTCAGCTAGTGGTACCATATTTAACCCAACAGTACAACTCTCACCCAATACCAATATCCCCTGGCCACCCAGTTCATACCCAGACCATAGGTGTACCACACCTACCCCGTATTCACATGTAGCTAGAGCTAAATCTTTCAGGGCCTTCACATAGCTAGACAGTGAAGTATTCTAGGGCCTACAAAATCTCAGGAGTTTGGACAACTCTTGCAAGGATCCAAGCAGAGGGGGCAGCAGGACCAGCCATTCCCCAGGGAGACTACTCCCATCCCACAGATGGCCCCTCCAAAATGCATCTTTGTTCCAAGGCTCCCAGGGGTCCTCCCTTCTCCAGCTCCCTCTATGCTCCTTTTCCTTTTTGTGTAGTGATGAAAGAAGGAATAGACAACATCTAGAACCTTCTGTGGATGTAGACCAGCTGTCTCATATATAGGAAGTTCTAGTTCCTGCTTGGTACATGATGAGTGTCTTGTCCATCCTGTAGTATTTTCTTCATCTAGCTCACTTGGGGATACATGACCACCAGACTCTACCCTTGGCCCTTTACACATGCCCATTAGGGTTTTTTCAGGGGTCTCTCCATTCTGGGCTGGGGTAAGGAGGAACCTCTACTTCCTGATGTAAAGCCCTTCTCCACACCTGCTCCCCATGTTTCTTGTGGTTGTAAGGCTGCACCCCCTTACTCTACCTGCTCAGTGGCACTTCTGTCTTTCCAGCCAGTTGCTGCTGGCAGCGGAATCCCCCAGATCAAGTGCTTCCTCAATGGGGTGAAGATCCCCCACGTGGTGCGGCTCAAGGTGAGGTGTGCATGATTTCTGCTGGTTTAATTAAGTCTGTCTTTGCTTGACCCTCCACACTTGGCACAAGCTCTGTGCACACCAGTTGTTGTGTGTGCACACATCAACATCTGAAAGTGTACATCTGAAAGTGGCAAAAGCTGGTCTTTGTCTGCAGTCAGCGGTGCAGGAATATGAATGTTGTGATTGCAGTCATGCAGTACACGTTTGTAACTCAGGACTCTGTGGCCCTGAGTGTTTCAGAGCCAGAGGGGCTAAGCTAGGCTTGGAGACGGTCTGCCTTCCTTTCCCTAGTTTCCAAGTTTTCTCTCATACTCGTAATGTGTAATTTATTACTAGTTGTTTTTGCCTGACCAGCCTTTCTGCCTGAGTCTGGACAGACACTGCCTCCTGTCCCTGTCTCAGAAGGCAGGTGAACATTGGCCTCCTTTGATGTACTCCCTTGCCTAATACTCCATCGCCTCCCTGGGGTGCTCCCAGGCCTGGTGCCCTATAGCCAAGGAAAGGCAGTGTAGTCACATTCTGGAAAGCAAGAGACCTGTGCTGCTACTCTGCTGTAGAATAGGGTAGACATGATGCTTTTGGGCATAGCACTGACTTGTTACCCATACTAGACTTAGTGGAACACGAATGTTTTGCTAAATACCTTTAGCTAACAGACTAGGTTTAGGAGGCTTCCTCAGAACCTGCATTGAACGTGATATCCTTCCCAGGGGCCCCCTCCTACCTGCACCAGGGGCCATGTATCAAGGGAGGCATGTATAAGTTGTTGTTTTATTGTTAATGAGCCCAGATGACAGAGTAGCTTTCTGTCCACCCTTGACTGCCCTGAGCATCCACCAGGCTCATGCAGTTCAGGGGAGTCACAGTCCCTCAGCCTCCATCTTCATGGTTCTTGGCCTGATGTGGGGAGGAATACTGGGGTATCCGTGTAGTGGGTGCTAAAATCTCCAGGTAGAAACACCTGTATGTTCATGGGATGGGGGCCATACTATCAGTCCCAGCTAGTAGTTGTCCCCAAGCTGTACTGGGCCTAGAGCAGAGGCATAGTCATAGGGCAGGGTTGAGCCTCCTCCCTCAGGGCCCCCTAGGGATATCAGCACTAAATTCCCCCAAACGGATGTGAAACAGCACCCTGGGTGCTGTTCCAACATTTGTAGTGTGGGTGGATGATCAGTGTGAGTTCTCAGCAACAGTGCTGACTCTTCTTGAGCCCTTGGGGCTCAGGCATGTATGCAGCATGTTTATTCAAACTCTGCATCTTCCTTGTTTCCAGACGCTGGTGATCAAGGTGTCCGGTGTGATTCTGTCTGTGGTAGGGGGACTGGCTGTAGGAAAGGTAACAGAATGAGTGATACTGGTCCCTTCTGAGTCTGAGTTTCTGTCTTTGGGAGGACACCAAGACCCATGTATGGCCTCTGAGTACTGATTGCTTTGTGCTCTCAGGAAGGGCCAATGATCCACTCAGGTTCAGTGATCGCTGCTGGGATTTCACAGGGAAGGTCAACATCACTCAAGCGAGATTTCAAGGTGAGTACTTCCACATACACATGGATGCACTGGGGATTCACAGATGTGTCTCAGCTGGTCTTCTGCCCATGCAGTCTTCATCCAGACCTCTGGGTCTCCCTCAATATCCAGTTCCTGCCGGGCGGTGGTGGCACATGCCTTTCATCCCAGCACTCAGGAGGCAGAGGCAGGCGGATCTCTTGAGTTTGAGGCCAGCCTGGGCTACCAAGTGAGTTCCAGGACAGCCAGGACTGTTACACAGAGAAACCTTCTCTCAAAAAGAAAACAAACAAAAAACCACATCCAGTGCCTGTCCTATCTCTAACTCTAAGGACAACCTGGTCTGTTCCCATTCCAGGTAGTTACAGACCATGTGGACTCTCCATGGTCAGTTCCTAGAATTCTGGTGGTATATGCTAGTGTGATTCTGTTGAAAAGAATCTATAGCTCTGACTAGCTTCTCAGAGGGACAGTCACTTGAGGGAGGTCAGAGCTTTAAATGGCTACTCAGGTACATGGTACAATTTTATCATGTTTCTCACTGTTACCAGCAATAAGATGGGCCTTACACTAAACTTACATGTTGATAAGTCTATAGCCGTCTTTGAAACAGTCGCTCTGTATAACCCAGGCTGGCCTTGAACTTAGGATTCTGTCTCAAGGCTTCTGAGAGCTAAGGTGCCAAGGATGCTGCGCCTTTCCTGGAACTCACTTGGTAGTCCAGGCTGGCCTCGAACTCACAGAGATCCGCCTGGCTCTGCCTCCCGAGTGCTGGGATTAAAGGCGTGCGCCACTACCGCCCGGCTTGAACAATGCTTTTTAAAATCAAGAGTAAGTTTAGATTTTTCCACCCATTGGATTTTCTCCAGTTAGTAAGGTAGAGCTGGAACAAGAAGTTCATCGACTTCTTGCCTGTGTGAAGTTGGGTCACGGTCACAAATGGAATCCTGTGGTTATGTTCTCAGCTGTGGGGACATGGGCACCCCAGCTCTCCTGTTTTCTGTCACTATCTCTAGTATTGCTTTCTGAATCCAGTAGCTACTGTTGTGATTATAATGATATGATTGTTAGAAAAGGCTCCCTGCCTGATTATCTAGAAAAAAAGGTCCTGCCTCTTACATCTCTTGTTTGGTCCCTTTGGTGGGACCTGTTTCCAACTTCCCTTCCTGTGATAAGTGACCCTTCAGAGCCTCCCTCAACACCCTCCATCTTTCTCTTTCAGATCTTTGAATACTTCCGCAGAGACACAGAGAAGCGGGACTTTGTCTCAGCTGGAGCTGCAGCTGGAGTGTCTGCTGCATTTGGAGCCCCTGTGGGTAAGGAGGGCCAGTTCCACCTCATCTCTGGCTATGCCCTTGGGTGCTTTGTGGTTGGCCAGGATGGGGAAGCAGGGCTTTTCTGTAGGCATAGTTCTGATGTTTGTAGACAAGTGCCAGGTGAGGGTGTGGGCAGTGTCTTACAGCCACCAGCTGTGGCCTGGTACCAGCTAGCAACTTCCCTGTGTCGTGTTCTTAATTCCCTGGGGTCTCTGTTGGGCACTGGCAGTGGGCAGGCTGCCCTATGGCCTGGGTGGCACTGTAGACCTGCCACTTGCCTTCCAGGTGGGGTTCTATTCAGCCTGGAGGAAGGTGCCTCCTTCTGGAATCAGTTCCTGACATGGAGAATTGTAAGTGCCTGAGGAAGGCGCCCTCTGGCCAGGGTGATCATGCTTCTCCCTCCCTTGAGGACTCGTCATATAGTCAGTCCATCCTTTTATATTGTAGAATGCCCCAGTGGGTTCAGTAGCTCTACACGTGTCCCAGGTGTCCTTGGTGCTGGGAACCCCAGAAACACTACCTTCTCTTATGTCCTTCACTGGCTTGTGTGTAGAGCAGCAACGCCATCTCTGCCCAGCCAAGCAGTAGACCCAGCCCCACTTGGCTCCAGCACCCTTCTTTTTGTCTTAGATGGGATATCCAGACACACAGCTTTCCAAATGACAGGAATTCCCAGCCTCCGTGTCTGGCTCTGGCATTCAGATGAGAGTGTTCTATATAACTTGGAGCCTAGGTGGGCCAGATGTGGCTTTGAGGTGTTTAGGTGGGCCAGGTAGAGCTCTGAGGACACTGAGTACTGAGTGGGCCGGGCAGGGCCCTGAGGGTGCTGGGTGCACCAGGCAGGTTTCTAAGGCTCTGGCTTCTCTCTGCCACAGTTCTTTGCTTCCATGATTTCCACCTTTACACTGAATTTTGTTCTGAGCATCTACCATGGAAACATGTGGGACCTGTCCAGCCCAGGCCTCATAAATTTTGGAAGATTCGACTCAGAGGTAACTTGTCAGCCACAATGTCCCACCTTGCCCTTTCTGGTGCTACCTCAAAACCCTGTTGGCTGAGACTTGAACATGGCTTTGGAAAAATCTAGTTCTTAGCAGGGATGTTGAACTCTTGCTTGTCAGTTTGAGGACCCTGTAGTAGTGCTCTGGGAGTGTGCACAGGGTCTGCTCCCTCAGGGCTTTGAGTGTACCACAGCTGCAGTGTGAGACTCTCCAGTATTAAGTGCCAGGCTGCACAAGCCACCAAACCAGCTCAGTCATGAAGGTTATAAGGTCTTCTCAAAGACCATTTATCTCACATATGGACCTCTGGTTCTGTATAAAAGTGCTATAAGGTTCAGTGCATGTAGACAGAGTCTCTGTTCAGTCCTGTAATTTAAGCAGCAATTTCTTAAAGCCTTTGCTTTTTCCCCTCTGCACAGAAAATGGCCTACACCATCCATGAGATTCCCGTCTTCATCGCCATGGGTGTAGTGGGTAAGGCCCCTCGCTATAGCATGGACCAGAGTCAGCCTGTGTTGGGAGGATGGATTCCCAGCTCCAGAGTGGTGCAGGTCTGGAGTTGTCTTTGTCAGGATCTCCATCCTCACCTCTAGGTCCTGCCCTGCTAGAATTCTTATGCAGATGCATGCAGGGGTGGGCACTTCAGAAAGACCCCAGAGCTTTACTTCTACTGTGGCAAAGCTTCAGGCCTGGAATGAAGCTTTGCCACAGTAGAACGGGCGGGGTGGGGGGCAGAGGCGGGTATTTACAACATCTACAGGGTGAGGCCTCCTTATCTAAAACACTCAGGGCCTGAAGTGGTTCAGATTTCCTTTTTTAAATCCCAGAAATTGCCCCCCCCCCCCCCCCCCCCCCAGTTTCTCTGTGTAGCTTTGGAGCCTTTCCTGGATCTCGCTCTGTAGACCAGGCTGGATTTGAACTGATTTGACAGAGATCTGCCTGGCTCTGCCTCCCGAGTGCTGGGATTAAAGGCGTGCGCCACCACCGCTCGGTACCTCCCAGAAATTTTTTTCCTCCCATGCTCAGCTCATACTGCTCTGTAAGAAGCTGAGTGGAAGGCAGAACAGCCTTAGAGACATGACTGGGAAGCCATCTGACAGTGCACCCTCGGCAGGACCATCCCACTTCTGGGGCCACCACTGGCCTCCCTGTGAAACCAACATTAGTCTCTTTTCTGGTCACAGGGGGCATTCTTGGAGCTGTGTTCAATGCCTTGAATTACTGGCTAACCATGTTTCGAATCAGGTGAGAAAGAACCCCGTTTTGTGTGCCAGATTGACGGGTACAGGCCCACTGGGTGCAGGAAATGGACAAATTGTAGCAGCCTTGTCAATGATGATCCTTTCCTGAAGGTCTGCCCAGCTAAGCTGCTCAGGATAGGTCAGGAATATGTGGCCTGGGGGAGAGGGACAGGAAGTGGAAGTGGGGGAGGAGCTGGAGGAGCTTCAGAGGCGGAGTGCTCCTCCCCTGAGAGACATTCCTCAGGTCCTGAGGTCTGAAAGCTAACAGATCAAATTTGTCATGGAGAGCAAAGCCCTAGGTGAGTTAGCTACTGACTACCTTCTGCCTGGGGTGCCGGCCCCTTTATTAGAAGAGAAGCAATCAAATTTGGGAAGACACTGTCTTCCTGTTTTTTTGCACAGGTCTTAGCTGCCGTGGTGGTGTAGCAGGGTGAGTCGTTACTGAGTAGTCTGTAGCCATAGGGAGAAAGATAACCCCAGGAGTCTGGGCTGATTGATCATTAAACCTGTGTTGTTTTGCCCTCTCATCAATGGGTTCTGGGTCAGGTTGCCATGGCAACTGCCAGGAGCAGGGCAGGTGAGGCTACCCCTGAACATCCCTGCAGCAAAGTCCACCCTGGCTTTGGTCTCTAGGTACATCCACCGGCCCTGCCTCCAAGTGATTGAGGCCATGCTGGTGGCTGCTGTCACAGCCACAGTGGCGTTCGTCTTGATTTACTCATCTCGAGATTGCCAACCCCTGCAGGGGAGTTCCATGTCCTACCCGCTCCAGGTAGGCATAGGCCTTGGGCTGGCCCTATGAACAGGACCAACTCTCCTGAACTCTGGTTTCCCGGAGGTAACAATGTTAGTAGGCCTTAGGCTTGTTCTGTATGTAGGATCCCATAGTAAGCTGAGGCTGTCTTTCAGGTGCTTGGGGAATGGGTGGTAGTACTCAACTGATCTCACCATAGTCATTTCCAGACACCTCCTGGAGAGAGCTTTAGAATGGGGCTCAGTTTAGATTAGAGAAGTACATACCTGTAACTGTACAGAAATCGTATAGGGATACTTGTAGCAGCTCATAAAACCCCCAAACGAGAGCTTCCTCTCTTCTTAGGCAAGCAAATGATGTGTCCCTCCATGTAGTAAATGGCACTTATCCCAGAAGACTGGGCCTACTGGTCCCCAGGGCCAGTGTCCAACTGTTGATTCTGAGGCATTGCTCATGAAGTTCCTAGTTTCCTGTTTCTTCTGGATAGAGGGACAGTTGGACCTCCATCTCCCAGAGAGGTGGTCATCCAGTGAAGTCCTGGCTGAATTAAACTTGAGCACTCAGCAGCACAGGATCTGCCCTGTGGCCATCTGTCCCTCTCTGTCCTTTCTCTCAACTCTACAGCTCTTCTGTGCAGATGGCGAGTACAACTCCATGGCTGCAGCCTTCTTCAACACCCCCGAGAAGAGTGTTGTCAGCCTTTTCCATGACCCACCAGGTATGTGCAGTCAGCATGGCTAGGACTTACTAAGGACAGTGGGCAAGTTCTTGGCCCAGAGATCACTGCCCTGGGCTAGGAGTGAGGAGTCGTCTCTGGTGTGGTGAGGTGTACTGGAGTGCAGGAATCAATGTTGCAGAGTTGGAGACATGGGGTTGCACAGTTCTGCGGAGTACCTGGTGGCCAAGCACCTGGACAGGGACTGACTGGGGTCCCCATCTTCTCCTTTCTTCCTGAGGATAGTCACCTGAGTCACCTCCATCTCTCTCTCCAGAAGAAAACCCAGCCTGGTGACTCCATGAGCAGGCCTTTCTGGGCTCCACCACACTCCTGATAGTGCCTAGGGCTAAGCCCTACACACCGTGCCCAAGCAGAGCTGGGCAGCCTTAGGCCTGTGTCTCCAGCTCCTCCCCTTCTGTTTTCGTTTGCTGTCTGTTGCTGTCAGTGGTAAAACCCTGACCAAACCAACTTGGGAAGGAGTGGTTTATTAGCTTAGAGAGGGAAGCTGAGGCAAGAACTGAAGCAGACTATGGAGGAACACTGCTTTCTGTTTGCTCAGCTACCGTCCTTATACAGTCCAGCCCACCTGCCCAGGGATCATACTGCCCACAAGAATGTTGGATCCTCCCACATCAATTAGCAATCAAGAAAATGCCCCCCTCCCCCACCGGCATGTCCAAGCTAATCTGATGGAGGCAGTTCCTTTGTTCCCTCTTCACAAGTGTGTCAAGTTGACCACTGAAGTTAACCACGATATCCACCCTGCCCACAGGGACAGGTGTTTATAATTGTTGCCTGTCATAAGGCTACTGGGGACTTCCTGTTTGGGAGGCTGTCCACGGGTAAGGATCATGAAAATTAATGGATAAATTTGGTGTAGAATAAGCCAATGGCATTCCACACATAGACCTCTGCCCTTCCTGACCAGGCCCTGCTAACCTCAGTAATCTGTGCTATGGTGCTCTTAGCCACACAGACTGGCACATCCCCTAACCCTGGCTGTCACATAGGCCACTGTGGTTCCTCTCTATTTGGCCTTACTTCTCTGGTTTCTCACCCACAAATATAACCTCAGCATCTTGTCTACGTCCCAGGTCTTGGAGTTTGACCACCGAATTACAGTAGCTGGGAGTGGTTTAGGGGCCCAGTAGGACACGTCTTGGTCACCTCTCATCTCTGGCTCAGGCAGTCTGTCCTAATGCAGCTGGCGTATGTAAAGTCACACCAATTGTGAGTCCAGCTGAGCTGGAAGTCTGCTGCTGCTCGCAGGAGTGTGGGCTTCCTCTTTCTCCTAGACAAGGGCCTCCACCTGGGACAGAGCACATTCACTGCAGGCTCTTGGTCATTCTGGGGAGTTTGGTGCTGACATGGAGCCTGGGTGGTCCCTGAATTTGATACCTGTGCTGCCAGCTTGAGGTCACCTTGCTGCACTTCTCACATCACTTCTGACTCTGGGGACCTGCTCTTCACCTGGAGAAGCTGAGAATGCAGAGTTTCCTGGGCACCACTGGGAATCCGGTGGCCTGGTTCTCAGGATGGAAGCACATGGCCAGCAGGCCATCCCTGGCCAGCAGGCCATCCCTGGCCAGCAGGCCATCCCTGCCCAGGCCGGAGTCCCAGCTATAGCTCAGTGACCTTCCTTTTCCCTAGGCTCCTACAATCCCATGACGCTAGGCCTATTCACTCTGGTCTACTTCTTCCTGGCCTGCTGGACCTATGGCCTCACAGTATCTGCTGGTGTCTTCATCCCATCCCTGCTCATTGGGGCTGCCTGGGGCCGACTCTTTGGCATCTCCCTGTCCTACCTCACAGGGGCAGCGGTGAGTTGGGAGAGGCATGCCAGAGCTCCACTGCTCAGGTGTTCTGGTGACCCTAGGAGCCAGAACAGGGGAAATCGGGGTATCTAGTGCAGGTGGACAAAAGTTCTGACACTATCAAGTAGTCCTGTCATGTAACTGTGGAGACATGTTGGGGAGGTGAGTGAGAATATAACAAGGGAAAGGAGCCCAGGTCCTCCAGCACTGACCTGCATGTAGGCCTCTTAGCCCTTCCTCTCACCAGCTACTGGTGGAGCTTGGGGTTTCCATCTGTGTGTATGTTTTCTCACTTCAATCGTTTGAGTAAGATTGACAAATGATAGAAGGGTAACAACAGGAAGCCTATATCTGCCCCTCCCCTGTCCTCAGGCTCAATTGTCTGTCTAAATCTCCTTTTGGTTGGGTTCTGTCTCTGAGATGTGATTCATAAGAATGATTGCTTTGAACGTAAACAGTTCAGTGGCATTTACTAGATGCTTAGCATTGTGCAGCCATCACTTCCAGCTCCAGAGCTCTTTCTTCACCGGGACAGGAACCCTCTGCTATTCAGTGTTGACCCTGTCTTCCCTTTCCCAGCTCTAGTAGCCTCTAGCTTCCGTGCTGTCTCTGGGCTCATCTGTTGCCAATACTTCCTGGGGCACACAGTGTGCAACCTCATATGTCTCTGCAGTCTCCAGTTGAGTGTGATGTCTGCTTGTTCATCTCTGTTGTAGCATGTCCTAGAACCCTTTCACAGCTGAATGTCTTTCCTTGGGTGATCCCGTGTATCTGCGTGGGCAATGGCACCTTGTGCATACTTTTGCTCTACTGTCCTCCTTCATGTAGGTTTCTCAGCACAAAGCAAGCACAGTCTTCTGAGCTCATGGGTGTGGGCAGGTGGTCGGTAGAATTTGTATACCTTGTCCCTATTCAAGGCACACCTAGCTGGAACGTTAACACACAGGTTGTAGCAGAGGGCACTGGAGTAGAATGTTCTGCATGTGAGCCTTGGAATTCACTCCTGTGTGTGGATCAGTAGGCCCAAGCATAGCATCTTCACTGGAATGCCCTGGCAGATTTGGGTGAGGGTTGCCACTGCCTCTGATACTCAGCCATGTTGCCTCCCACAGATCTGGGCAGACCCGGGTAAATATGCCCTGATGGGAGCTGCTGCTCAGCTTGGTAAGCCCCAGCTCTTGCCCTGTTTGGTGAGTGGTTCTCACTTGTACCCTGCCCACCCATTGTGAGTTCCACCAAGACTGGCCTTTGCCATTCATGTGAGCAAAATAGGATGTGAGGCAGGTGAGGTCATCAGCCCCATGGCATGGCCAGGTGGCAATAGTCCGGGCCCAGCAGTTACCATCCTTGCCTCTGGGGTCTGGAAAGATAGGCGGGTAAAAAGACTGCAGACATAGCAGAGCTGGGGATCCTATGTTAAGAGGGATAGGGGCTTATGACTACCCCCACAGGTGGGATCGTGAGAATGACCCTTAGCCTGACAGTCATCATGATGGAGGCCACCAGCAACGTGACCTACGGCTTTCCCATCATGCTGGTGCTGATGACTGCCAAGATTGTGGGCGATGTCTTCATTGAGGTATGCAGCATGAGAGGGGTGGTTTGTCCTCGGCTTACCCTGGATGCTAACCTTGTAGCCTAACACTGGGGTTTGAGGAGCCTGCAGCAGCTGCAGAAGAAAGAGGGCCCATTGAGCCACTCCCATATGCCCTCAGGACTAGGGCAGTTGTGGGGCTCTGAGGGAGGCAATGTGCCTTCAGGACCCCTGGGCAGTGTCCTGAATCATGACTCTGTACCCAGGGCCTCTATGACATGCACATCCAGCTGCAGAGTGTGCCCTTCCTGCACTGGGAGGCCCCGGTCACCTCACACTCGCTCACCGCCAGGTATGGCCAGCTGGCCTGCTAAGCCCTCGTGTTCCTGGGTGCTGTGGGTAGATGTGGACAGGGAAAACACTGAATGTCTGTGGAGAGCCCGGGTACCAGGGTTCCCACTGTAGCTGGTCCATGGCTGGTTTTCCAGTGCCTGGTTAAGTCTGTAGCATGGAAATGGGGGTCTTGGGGTCCCAAGTCTGACAGCTTCATGTCTGTCAAGTATTCACATGATACTAAAGCTCTTAAGGAAGTACCTTGACAGCACGTGGTGTGAATGCCACAGAGATAGGATCACTGGGTTGGACCTCTTGGCAGGGAAGTAATGAGCACACCTGTGACCTGCCTGAGACGGAGAGAGAAGGTTGGAGTCATCGTGGATGTTCTAAGCGACACAGCATCCAATCATAATGGATTCCCCGTGGTGGAGGATGTGGGAGACACCCAGGTACTGTGGGCACTTCTCTGAGTATCAGTTCTTTTTATTTTGTGCCCATGAGCAGCATATATTGGAGGAATTGATCATGTAGTTCACCTGATCAATATACTTTTATTTTTTTTCAAGATTTATTTTTATCCTGTTTTTGTGTTTTACCTGCATGTGAACCACCTGCATGCCTGGTGCCTGCAGAGGCTAGAAGAGGGTATTGGATCCCATTGGAATTGGCATTATAGATGGTTGTGAGCTACCATGTGGGTGCTTGGAATCAAGCCCAGGTCTTCTGCAAGAGCAAAAGTGCTCTTAACCACTGATCTATTTCTCCAGCCCATGAACAGGAAATGTTGTGTTGGATATAAAGTAAAATCCCTCTCTTAGCTGGCATGTCCCCACAGACTACAAGCCTTGTGTAGTTCTAACGGGACTGGACTTCTCAGTCATGGTGTTGGTGGCTGTGACATCTGTCAGGAGGTGCCAAAGAGATGTGAGACCAGCTATGTTTACCCCCGGCCCAGTTCTTACTCTGTTGGGATATGTTGGACATTGGCACTGGTGGCTTGAAAGAAATGTGAGAAACATGCTTGGCTTAGGTCTTGCTACCTGTTGATTCCATTCTCAGCAGGTGGCTTCCATGCTCTGCTGACCGGGTTAGCCCTGTCTCAGATACTTTAGGGATTAGCAGGATTGTGTGTGAGAGATGCCCACTTCAAGGCCTATGCTTAGAGGTGACCACGAAACAGCAGAGTGAGCCAGAGTTTCCCACTGCAGTCTCAAGGCCTCTCTTTCCTCTCCAGCCAGCCAGGCTCCAAGGCTTGATCCTGCGCTCCCAGCTCATCGTGCTCCTGAAGCACAAGGTGCGCCCCTCAGTCCATGGGTGGGAGTGTCCTGGGCACCATCCTTCATAGTGGCAGATACATAACTGGGTGCTGCCTGCAGGTGTTTGTGGAGAGGTCCAACATGGGGCTGGTACAGCGGCGGCTGAGGCTGAAGGACTTCCGTGATGCCTATCCACGCTTCCCCCCAATCCAGTCCATTCACGTATCCCAGGATGAGCGGGAGTGCACCATGGATCTTTCTGAATTCATGAACCCCTCTCCCTACACAGTACCCCAGGTACTTATTGACCCAAAGGAGTTGGGGGCAGGGTTGGGATATGGTTAACCTCCAGGGCCCAAGCTCTATGCCTTGTATATTCTGAAAAGGTGGTAAAGAGCCTCTGGAATCTCATGGAGTAGCTGCTGCCAGGTAGAGAGGAGGCCTTCAGGGATGGTGCAGGTGGGGCTTGCTGCCTGGGATAGGCCATCTGACCAGAATTTATCAGGGACAGCCTGAGAGAATTAGGGCTTCAAGTAGCATTGGGCCTCAGAGAACCCCACTAGTAGCACAGAGGGGCTTGGAGTCAGGTATGGAGGGAAGGGACAGCTCAGGACTCTGGAAATGCCTGGTTTGGGGGTGGAATCCCTTTCCACAGTAGAGTGAAGTGGGCTAAAGGCAGTTGACTACCTTGCAGGAGGCGTCTCTTCCTCGAGTGTTCAAGTTGTTCCGGGCTCTGGGCCTGAGGCACCTGGTGGTAGTAGACAATCGCAATCAGGTAAGGCTGCTCTCTGTCCTGCCAGAGAGTGCTGGAGCTGGCTCACACTCTGCTTCCGGTATCCCTGCTCTGTTGTGGGTGGACATTGGGGCTTGTCTGTCTCGGGACAGTGACCCTTGGGACCTAGCCTGTTGGTGCACGCCTACTTAGCCCTGGTATGTGGAGTATGCTGTCATATGGAGGGAAGTGACCTGGTGTTGTTTCTGCAGGTGGTCGGTCTGGTGACTAGGAAGGACCTGGCAAGATACCGCCTGGGGAAGGGAGGCCTTGAAGAGCTTTCACTGGCCCAGACGTGAGGGTTGGCTCTACCCTTGTGCAGTGGCACCGGAGCCCCTCTGCACCTCCTCCCAGGGTCCCTGGTCTCAGCCAAAGCCTTGCCCCCTGGGCAGTGCAACAGCAGGAGCAAATGCCCTCCCTGGGCCTGGCTGGTGTGGGGGCCAGACCCTTTGTCTTGGGCAGTTGGTTTACATCATCAGCACTTTCCTTGTCCCCTGACCCCTCCACCCCTTGGACTTGCCCCTCTCCTGGGTTCCTTCTCCAAGGATGAAATGTGTGTGATCACACCCTTGTGGCTCACTTCTCAGAGCCAATAGAGGCTGGGTTGTGTGTGTGTGTGTGTGTGTGTGTGTGTGTGTGTGTGTGTGTGTGTGTGTGTGAGAGAGAGAGAGAGAGAAGGGGGGGGGGAAGGCAGGCAGGTGTGAGCTCCTACCTATTGCTGTTTCTTCTGATTCTGAGCACCTATACTGTGGTTGTACTGCCCAAACCAGCCAAGAGCTTCAGCAGCAAGGGCTCTATTGGGGAACCCACATGTGCCATCCCATGTCTTTGTTCAGAAGATGGCCAGACTGGTTCTATGCCTAGGGCTTGAGAGCTGAAAATCACATGAAGACTGCATCTGAGTTCACCTACATCTGTCCCAGGCTGGAGGTCATGGCATTGTGGACCACAGCAGGTCTTCCCGCAGCACTTAGGACCCTGATGGCCATAGTGGCTTTGCTGTTACCTGTACTGTGTACACCCTTGGGCAATGGCCTTCCAGGACCTGGCCATCCAAGGGTGGCCCTAAGATGGACCTGCAGCACCAGAGCCAAGGAGCCTCGCTTCTAAACTCTGCATTGTCAAAGCTGCCTCCACTGGACCAAGCTCAACCTGACATCCAGAGTCAGAGTCTTCTCCCCAGGACGCATTGTAAAGATAGTTGCAGTTGTCTCTGACATGTCTGTTACAAGGCCACACAGGTCCTTCTTTGGAAAGCTGGCATCTGCTGCCTCTCAGTTGTCCTCCCTCCAAAGGCGTGGCTCTTCCTTCTATGAGGAGATGGACTAAGTGTGTCATTGAGTCTGGATATGAGAAATGAGAGACTCCTTTTCTCTGTCCAGGGCTCAGCATTCTGGGGAGTTAGGCACTCAGCATGTTGATAAAATAAGTGCACCTTCTATAGACAGTAGCTGCTGTCTGTGATGGGCAGTGGTTGCAACTCTTGAGGAGTACTGCAGCTAGCCCAGGGCCCAGTAGGAGGGTCATGTAGGGACCCTGACCTCCTCATCCCCATCTTACAGCCTTTCTCTCAGGCTCGCTGCAGAGTGTGGTTTCTGTCACCTGCTTGGATGACATCCTGTCCCCAAGCCTGGGCATGCCAGGCTCTGCATGACAAGAAGTTTAACTGACCCACCGTGCCTGCTCCGCTGGTCCTGGTGGGTAGGTCTTCGTGACAAAGCCAGGGGTGCTCTGGATTGGGAAGGGCCATATCTGATTGGACCCAAGGGGATGAAGAACACTGCACAGGGCCTCAGAGACTTGGTACCAAAAACGCATGTGCAATCTGTCCACAGTCTGTGTTGACTATATGTTGAAATGATATTTTTGGATATATTAGGTTAAATAAAACAATCAAAACGTCTCTCTCAAAATTCTCATTATGGCTCTTGGGAGGGCTGAAACCTCAGTGGCCTCATTTATGACTGTCATCCTACCCTCTGGGTGTCTGTTCCCAGATTCAGGGCTAGCTATGTCCCATTTGCCTAGGACCCTCACTTTCTGCTCTATGTGTGTGACTCAAGGGCCTGTGAAGGTTCATGGACAACCTCTTCACCGTGGCCGTAACCCAGTAGCTCCAGAGCCAGAGGAGACCCTTTTGCAAGAGGAATGCTTCATAGTCCCTCCACATCTTTCCAGGAACCAGAAGTTAGGGAGCCTGCAGGACAGGGTGGATGAGGACTCAGGTTCCACTGGCAGTTGGCCATGAAGTCATAGGGTTCTGATGAGAAAAGGAAGGTTCTAGACTAACTCAGCTGTACCTGCCTCCTTCAGCAGGATTCACTGAAGAGGCAGGTATAAGGGCAGGACCCCACTACCTCTTCCTTCAACTGCTCTCAGGGAATCCACAGCCTTTCCTCCTGAGTCATCTTCTCCCAAAGGTCCACAGTCTCCTCTCTGACCCTGTCTTCTCAAGATCCAGACCTTTCCTCTTGACCCTCACCTCCCTAAGCCCCACAGCCTCTCTAAATCCTTGCCTACACTGTCCCAAAGCCTTCTCTTCTACCCCTCAACTGGTCCCCAGTCCCTGCAGCTTTCTGGCCCTGACTGACTACTCGCCTCCCTCCAGCCAACCTCTCAGCCACCCTGGCCTTGGTGTCCAGCTCTGGGCAGTCACAGGTGCTGATACCATAACCCAAGCTACAGGTGGTGACTGCTGGTGAAGCCATGTCAGGTGAGTGTAGAGGAGCGTATATGCAGAGCAGTCCCGCTTCTGGACCTCATAGGGGCTGATGGAGCTGGCCAGGTGGAAAGTTTACTATTCTTGCTTCCCAGAACTGTGTGTCCTCCCTCAGGGCCCTTAACCCCTCTTACCTGAACCTGTATCAGGGCTGATCTCTGTGACTCAGTAAGGGCTGAGCTCAGGTTGGCATTGAGCAAGTTTACTGCTGTCCCCATGCATGAGCTCCCAAGGTGCCTCCTTCCAGAGCTAGCAGACAGCTCCTCACTCGGACTTTCACCTCCTTCACAACTGAGCAACGTCACACTCGAGGACCTGGAGCTGCTCTTAACAGAAGGCCTAGCTAGTCCTGAGCCCTTGGGTGTGGAGACCCCAGAGAGGTATGAGTGCAGTGGCCTGGTGTCCAGCTCCTTGGTCCCTGAACACGACACTCCTAAGCGGCGGAAACTGCTAGAGCAATGGTGAGCCTTGCTGAGTATGAGAAAGAGGGAGATGACACACTGAGGGAGTTAACCTCTAAGAGACACAACTTGACCCAGCTGCTCTGGCTCCGATCAGGGTAGCTGAGCTGCAGGCTGAGGTGCGTCGCCTGAGGGGACATAAGGACCGCTGTGAGCATGTCACACTGGGCCTGCTTCGTGAGCTGCTGCAGGTCCGTGCCCATGTGCAGCAGCAGGCCTCGGAGCTGCGCCAGCTGAGGCAAGAGGTGCAGCAGGCAGCTTGGAGCCCTGAGAAAGAGGCACTAGAGGTGAGACCTTGGGCAGAGCAGCAGACATAAGCAAGCCGCCCTTTTCCTGGTGCTTGGATCAGCTTCCTGGACCCTGGCCCTCCTGACCCCAGTGGTTCCATGCTCTGACTCCTACACATGCACCTGCATCAGTGCTCGAGGGACTTTGCAGAGAGCATACTTGGCCTACCCAGTCCTTCTTTCCTCCTCCTCCTCCTCACAGTTGTCTGGGCCTCAGAGCCAGAACCAGATAAAAGCCCTGGATAAAAGGTACACACACAGACGAGCATAAGCTTCAGTGGGAGGGACTGGGGCCCACCCATGCTTCCCGCAGTAGCTGGTGTTAGGGCCCATGTGGGTGTCCGTTCCCCTAACTGGACTTGTTTAAGTAAACGATACCTATAATAGTCCAACTCAGACTGGGTTCTGCATACAGTGGGGCAGACTGAACAGATCGGGGGAGGCTGGTTGCAGAGCCCCATGGCTAGACCTGCAGCAACAAATGCTGCCTAGCTGCTCTGGGGCTGGCAGGGCAACTCCTTATGCCAGGCTGGTGGAGGTCCGAGAGGCTCTGACACAGATCAGGAGGACACAGGTGCTACAGGACTCAGAGCGGAAATGTACCGAGCAGGAGATAAGTCTCAGGTGGGCCAATTCCCTGGACTAGCTCCAAACCAGTTTTGGGTACACATTGGGAGTCTCAGGTCTGACCAAGGCTGAGGTCCTACCTGCCCTGTGCCCCTAGTGCCACCAGTGGGCCATCCTCTGCCATTAGTAATGCACTGCTGACTACTGGGGGCCCCACCTGCCTGCTCTCCTTTGTTAGGTGCCTTGCCCTCACTAGGGACTCCAAGGTCTATTTCCACTAACGTGTGTTAGCTGAGCAGGTTGTGTACCCCAGTCTAAGAAGGAACTAGGGTCCCAAAGCCCACCAGCGTCACTGTGGTTCCCCAGCTGAGTTGGTGTTACCACACCTACTGCCTCTAGGGTGACCAAGCTGACTGACTTGCTGAGGCAAGAGGAGCAGGGCCGGGAAGCAGCCTGCAGCACCCTGCAGAGGAACCAAGAGGACACCAACCAAAAGGTGGACCGTGGGTTGGCCAAGATGCAGGTACCTCTTGAAAGCCAAGCCTAGCTAGCCTGGGCAGGAGTCATCCAAAGGTCTCTGAGTAGACCTCTAGTGTCCCGAGCCTCTGGCCTTGCCATCAGTGGGTCTCCCTTCCTGCAGATGTTTGCCAGTCTATATGATAACACAAAGGTAGGCTCACCGGTACTGCCTGTCTGATGTGGCAGCCTCTCATCCACCTGGCATTGCCCATTCTCTGACATTAGCTACATCCTCAGGCATTGAAAACCTACTGCTGCTGTCATACAACCACGTTCCAAGTGCTGTGTGCCTGTAGTTTGGGGGAACAGAAGGCGTGGGCAGGAGCAGGGACCTCTCACTGGCCATCTCAGTGAACTATCAGGAACGGAACATCTGGTCCTAAAGCCCCTTCTGCAGCTGTTTTCAGGCTTAGCATTTCCCTCAAGTAGGAGTCACAAATCCCCAGGGCAGCATGTTCTCCCTTCTGCTTGGAGCCCTTAAGGGGTGGGGGGCTCTCTTCCTCATGGGGCTGAAGAATGGTGATGCATACCTGCCACCCAGCTCCTTGGCTCTATAAACAGAGACCAGTGACTGCAGCTGCTGTTCTGTGTGTCCAGGATCCTCACAGGACCGGGTGGGCAGGGCATACTGGGTGCTTCCAGCTGTCCCAACATAATTTTGCTGCCCAGAGGTAGTGGCATCCCTCTCAGATCTTCTGGGAAGCTAATGCATTGGCATCATCCAGAGCACAAAAGCTTTAGGCTAAGGATTTCTCGTATGCTAGGCATGGAGTGTTCAGGCCCTTCGAGGGCTCTTCAACATTGGTTTCAGGACTTTACACCCCAATACCTGTTTTTATAATAAAGTCTTGTTGGCGTGGAGCCATGAACATTTGTTTAGCATAGTGACAGTGGCAACTTTGGACAAGAGTTGGGAGGCTTCAAGGGAGACCCTGTGAACTTGAAATGTTTGCTGTCTGATCGTTCAGAAAAAGTGGTTGAGGAATGGGTGTGTAGCTCAGTTGATGGAGTACTGGCCTAGCATGGACAGAGTTCAGGGTTCAACCTCCAGCACTCCTAAAACTGAGTGTGGTGGCACATGCTTGTAATTCTAACCCTTGGCAGCTAGAGACTAGATCAGAAGTTCAGTATCATCTGCTGCATGACAGATGTGAGGCCAGCCTAGGCTATACGAGACCCTATCTTAAAAGAAAAGGTCTGGCCGTGGTGGTGCACACCTTTAATCCCAGCACTTGGGAGAAGAGGCAGGCGATCTCTGTGAGTTTGAGGACAGCCAGGACTACACAGAGAAACTCTGTCTTGAAACGCCCTCCCCCACAAAAAAAAGAAAAAGAGGCCAACCATGTTTTAGGTTCCCCTTCTTCAGGGGAGGGAGACCAGCAGTGGCTCAGATGATGCGAAAACTTCCTTGAGAATCATCTTCTCCAAGAACTACAGCCCAGGCAGGGCCTGAGAGCTGGGTCTGTTGGCACAACTCCTATGGCTATGGAGAAGGTGATAGGTAAATGGATATTGTGAAGTAGAAGGTTTCTTAGGACTTTCTTTGGTACATGAGGTGAGAGCCTCACTGTAAAGCTCTGGCTAACTTCCAACTCACAGCAACCCTCCTGTGAACCTCAGCCTCCTGAGTACTGGAGTTACAAGCCTGTGCCACACAAACAGCTTTGTCAAATCCTAACATTCCTGGGGAGACAGAAGAGAGACACGTATTCATTACAAATAGGGAAGGGGCCAACAGGGCTAAAGAGAGATTCGAAGTCCAGCTTGGCAAATAAGCTTAATGGGGCTTCTTAGAGGCACATGGGTAACACAGACAATGCAACACCAAAAAGCTCCCGTGACCTCACCATCAAAATTTCACCTCTTCTATACTCCAGCATTGGACTAGTTGGGTAGGGGGGAGTGGTGGTTGTGATTTCACAGAAAGGTCTTGTGACTCTCCTTCCTCCCTCCCAGGGGGACTGTTAGCCCCATTCTCATAGACAGCTATCTGCTTAGAACTGTTTCTCATGGCCATGACTATGGACCAAGATCTCCAGAGGTCACCAGCTGCTCAACTCCCTAATGGCACTGGCTATGTCAAGTCCTAAAGGAGACAACTGTACCACAGAGGGTGTGAGGTGGGGGGACAGAAGGCTGGGTTGGACCTCGAACCTCTGTCCTGTGCCTTCAGACCCTCAGAGCAGCAGGAGAGCAGCAGAGAGGGGAGGCAAAGCCCAAAGGATTGCATCTAGAGTTCCCTCCCCCCCTCTCGATGAGGTCTGTGCATAGGATGTTCCCACATGGATGGGATGCTCTCACATACTGGGCGTGTTTCCACATCTGCTTCTCTTACCGAGGCGCCAGCTCA